ACAAGTGTTGGCAAGGATGCTGAAAGGAACCCTGTGCACCGCTGGCGGGAATGTAAATTGGTGCAGCTATTGTGGACCACAGTGTGGAGGTTCCCAAAATATTAAAAATAGAAGTGCCTTTCGATGTAGTGATTCCACTCCTGGGTATTGATCTGAAGGAAATGAAACCAGTATCTTAAAGAGATATCTATCTACACTCCCATGTTGATTGCAGCATGATGTACCCAACCCCCAAGTCCACCGGTGGATAAATGGATAAAGGAAATACGGTGTGTGTGTATACAGTGGGATGTTATTCAGATTATTTTCAAAGAAGGAAATCTCGCCATTTGCAACAGGGATGATCCTGGGGGATGTAACGCTAAGTGGCGTGGGCCAGACACAGAAGGACGAACGCCGCACGCCCTCCCTCGCATGTACGGTCTCTAAGAGTAGGACTCGGAGAAGCGGAGAGTGGAATGGTGGCTGCCAGGGGCTGGGAGGAGGGGCAACAGGGAGGTGTCGGTGAAGGGGCACCATGTGTGGAGCACAGGAGTGCAAGATGAGTAAGTTCCGGAGGGCTCCTGTAAGCATGGGGACCAGTGGTTCTCAGCCTTCTGGCCCTTTAAATACAGTTCCTCATGTTGTGACCCAACCATAAAATTATTTTCGTTGCTACTTCATAACTGTCATGTTGCTACTGTTATGAATCGTCATGTAAATATCTGATATGCAGGATGGTCTGAGGCGACCCCTATGAAAGGGTCGTTCGACCGCCAAAGGGGTTGCGACTCACAGGTTGAGAACCGCTGGCGGGGACTCAGTCAGCAATATGTATACTTGGAATTTCCAGAGGAGATCGTAGGCACTCTCACCACACAAGTGAAGAAAAGTATGTGAGGGGATGAGCATGGTCCTTCGCTGGATGGTGGTGATGGTTTCACGGTGTCTGTATATCAAAACATCAAGGTGTACACCTTAAATATATACAAGTTGTATTTGTTCATTTTACCTCAATGAGGATGGGGAGGGGACCTCAAAAAGCCCACACCCTCTGAACCGACCATCGCATTTCCAGGATATGCATGCAAAACAGTCATGGGATACAGCCCTAGAGAGTTTGGCTCAGTGGATAGAGCGCTGGCCCGAGAAATAAAGGGCCCCAGATTCTATTCCCATCAAGGGCCCGTACGTACTTTGGTTGCAGGCTCAATCCCGGGCCCTGGTCGGGGTGCATGTGGGAGACAACCAACCAATATACGAGGTTCTCTCACATCCATGTTTCTCTCTCTTTCCCCCTCCCTTCCACTCTCTCTAAAAATCAATAGAAAAAATATCCTCAGGTGAGGATTAACAACAACAACAACAAAAGCAGCCATGGGATGCAGTCACCTCTTCATTCACAACAGTCTGGTTTCATACAACCACCCTGAACACATCCTGAATTAGCAAATACTGAACCCTCGCTCCCTGGGAAATACGGGGTTAGGGTCCTGTGAGCCGCTGGTCGCCGCATTTTATCATGTGTTTAAAGACACCTTATTTAACAGGTAGTGCTAATCATTAACAATGAGCGGCCAGAGGCACCCGAATGAAGCTCACTAACACTTGTGTTTTCTCCTTCAGGCCCAGCCCAGCCCTCCTGAGCTTAGGATCACTAGGCAGCATTTCAGTATTAGGGTGGGGCCATTTCAAGCAGCAAAATCACTAAAGCACAAAAATGTAGAAACCACGGCACTAAACAGGCCACAAAACAGACACTTGCTCACAGCGTGAGAGCCAAACCTCGAAGCCGAGTGTCGCCTGGTTCGTCCTCAGCAGGACTGTGTGTGCGCGCAGGTGACTCACATTTGGGCTGCTCTCTGAATGTCCAACGAGCGTAGCACACAGTAGGCCCTCAATCAATGGTAGCTTATGAGGTTTCCATCGGGGGTGATGCGAAGTTCTGGAACTGGGTGGGGGATGGTTGCACAACATCGTGTATGTACTTACTGGCACTGAGCTACACACTCTAAAGCAGCGGTTCTCAACCTGTGGGTCGCGACCCCTGAAAATACATCCTGCACATCAGATATTTACATTACGATTCATAACAGTAGCAAAATTACAGTTATGAAGTAGCAACAAAAATAATTTTATGGTTGGGGGTCACCACAACATGAGGAACTGTATTAAAGGGTCACGGCATTAGGAAGGTTAAGGGTTAAACGGCCGTGTTTATGTGGGTGTGCTTTTTACCGAAATCGATCAGTCTGTGTGGCTCCCTCCCAGCTGCTGTTCGGTCTTTCACTCAGGCCTGTCCAGCCCTAATCTTCGGATGCCTTTGCCTCTTCTTCCAGCTGCTCCTTAGGAAACTGCCCTGACCTTGAAGCTGACTAAGACAACTTGTTTTTTCCTCTTCCTGAAAGGCCCTCCCCCCACCCCTGACCTTCCACAGGGGCGGGGAAGGACCAGAGGAGGCACGCTGACCCGCCACCGAACTTCACGTCCTGTAACTACGGTCGGCAGCTGGGGAAGGGAGGACCCCACTCAGCCCAGGAGTTTAAGGAACCCTTTGTCTCTCTGGGGAGGGGGGGGGGGTCAGCAGCCCGGGGTCCTTCTCGGGGTCTGAGCTAAGCCTGGCTATTGAACTGCCCCACCCCGGCCCCGGCCCAGACTCTCCTCTGTCCAGTCATTCAAGGCAGCCTGCCTAAGCCGAGTTCATCTCCCACCCCTGCCTCTCCCTTTTCCCCGGGTTTCCATACCCAGGAGTGGCCCTGTCCCTTCAACTGTCCACGTCAGAAACCCAGAGGCCACAACCTTCTGGCCTCAGTCCAGATCCAGGACCCAGAACTCTCTGCCCACATGCCCGGGGCCCACGCAGATGGCCCGAGTCCATCCTCCCGAGGGCGGACCGGGCCGCTGGCCTGTGTGCATCCCTAGGCCTGAGGGGTGGACATTGCTTAGAACTTGGAAGTGCAGGCTGGTCATGACACGGGGGTGCAAAGAGAAGAGGGCCAGCAGCCTCCAGGAGAGATGGGGTGGGCCTGCCTCCGCCATTCCCGGCTGCCCAACCTTCGCGAGCAGGAGGCAGGGCTGGTCCCCATCTCCCGGCCTCTGAAGGGCTTCCTGTCAGCTCCTGAGTGTTTCATCCTGTGTGTCCAGGACGTTCATCACACCACTATCTCTGTGCCTTCCCGTGGCGAGGAGCCAGGCTTCCCACCAGGAGGTCTCCTGCCAAAAAGAAGAACGAATGGCAGGAGATGCCCCCGGGCAGCTGTCAGCTGGGGCTGACGGGACCACCCAAGGGACAGCTCACACGTCAGCTTTCTGCACAGACTGAGGGAGCAACTATGGATCCTCCCGGCCGGACTCTGCCTTCTCGTACAACTGGTCGACCTGCCCCCTTTTCTCCCTGGTGTCTCTGCCCCAGCCAGCCTTCCCGGCCCATCCTCCACCCCGCAGCCAGAGCGAACTTTCCAAAGCACCGGCTCGCTCCCCGCCGACACACCTTCAGGGGCTCCTACTGCTCTTTGGACAACGCCTGGACTTCCCGCCAGCCGGCCGCAGGCCCAGCTGACCTCTCCCTGCCACTGCCTGCCCCACACACTAAACAACAACCATCAGCGCGTGCTCCCTCCCTGGGAGAGCCGGCCGTGCTCTCCTGCCCTTGCATCTAGCATAGCCTTCACCTGCCTTTTCACCTGGAAGGTTCGCCTTCATTCACATCCATTGAAACCTGCAAGGTGAATCGTAGCAGCACCCCTGACGTCATAATGCGTGTGCTCCCCTAAAGGAGGCAGCTGCGAGTGTGATCTGCTCTCAGATGGGCCTGGGTGCAAAACCCAATGTACTGATTATTGGCTGTGTGACCTCAGGCCAGGTACTTAACCTCTCTGATCTGTTCCTTCATCTACAGAGTGAGGCCAATGATACTGACTCACACGAGTGGTCATGAAATTTACATTGACCTGAGCCGTGCATGGACTTGACCCTCCTGCCATTGCAATGGCCCCACAAGCTGTAAAGCTGTAGCTGTGACCACATCAGTGTTATTTTCTGCACCCAGAAGGAAACATAGGTGGTGGATTCCTCCCTGTAACAGGGCGTGAAAAACAGTGATGAGAAGAGGCACTATTTTCATATCAGGTGAAATCAATAAATCCCAATGCTGAGCCCAGGATAATGGAATTTTCGAAGAAACAATAACATATTTTTTAAGGTTTTATTGAGAGATAGAGAGATAGGAACATCGATGAGAGAGAAACATCAATCAGCTGCTTCCTGCATGCCCCCTACTGGGGATCGAGCCTGCAACCCAGGCATGTGCCCTGACCAGGAATCAAACTGGTGAATTCTTGGTTCATGGGTCAGTGCTCAACCACTGAGCCACACCCGCCAAGCTACAGTAACATATTTTTAAAATATATTTTTATTTCAGAGAGGAAGGGAGAGGGAGAGAGAGATAGAAACATCAATGATGAAAGATAATCATTGATTGGCTGCCTCCTGCACGCCCCCCACTGGGGATTGAGCCTGCAACCCCAGGCATGTGCTCTTGACAGGAATTGAACCCGAGACCCTTCAATTTACAGGCCGACATTCTATCCAGTAAGCCAAACCAGCTATGGCACAATAACATATTTTTGATGGGGGAAGAACATCTAGAACAGCGGTTCTCAACCTGTGGGTCGCGACCCCTTTGGGGGTCGAACGACCCTTTCACAGGGGTCGCCTAAGACCATCGGAAAACATATATAATTACATATTGTTTTTGTGATTAATCACTATGCTTTAATTATGTTCAATTTGTAACAATGAAATTAGGGGTCACCACAACATGAGGAACTGTATGAAAGGGTCGCGGCCTTAGGAAGGTTGAGAACCACTGATCTAGAAGGAGGCATCCCAAAATGTTAGAAGGTTATCCCTATGTGGTGCACATTTTTAATGATTTTATTTATTTACTACTTATGTTTAATGACTTTATTTACTACTTACTTATATTTTCTATATTTTTTCCTATGAGTATTGTGGGTTGAATTGCATTCCCCTAAAAGATATGTTGAAGTCCTAACCCCCCGCTGGGGGTTGTGAATGTGATCTTATTTGGAAATAGTTGTGTTTTCAGATGTAATTGAAAGTTAAGATGAGTCATACTCGACGAGGGTGGACCCTAATCCAATGTGACAGGCGTCCTTATTAGAAGAGAGGAGACACACGGAGAATGCCATGTGGCGGTGGAGGCTGGGATTGGAGCGCACAGCCAGGGAGCTCCCAGGACTGCCAGCAACACCAGGAACTAGAAGGAGGCAAGGATGGTTCCCCCCAGAGCCTCCAGGGAGTGCATGGCCGGCTGACACCCTGAGCTCAGACTCCCAGCCTCTGAATCCGTAAGAAAATGTATTCCTGTTGTTGTGAGCCACCCGGTTTTCGGTCCTTTGTGATGGCAGCTCTTGGACTTGCCTTACTTGTGTATGAGAAAGCGCCGAAAGATTTTTGTAAAAGGAGGAGGAGGAGGAGAAGCTTGAAGTGTGTCTGTCTGCTCAGGGCTCAGCCTCGATATGCGGACAGACATAAATGCCTCCTTCCTGTCTCCTATGTTCCCTTTGTGCAAATTGTCCTTCCCTCGGTCCTGTCTCCCGTCTTCCCTGGTCAGCTGGGAACTGTGAAGGAGTCCCCTAGCTGGGACAGCCAGCCCCGGGGGCGGGGGCGGGGAGCTGGAGGACCTGGAGGTCAACATCTCCATGCCCTCTGCCCGTGACCAACCCACCACGGCCATTGGTAAGTCCTTCCTGCTGCTTCCAGCACAATTTTCTAAAACACAGGACAGACCATGCCACCCCAAGCCCCTTCACAGATCGCCAGTGGCGCCCAGTTCCTTGGTACGACTTCAAGGCCACTCTCTAGTGCAAGGCAGTTTCCGGTTTATCCCCTAGTCTTCCACCCAGCGAGTCCTGCAGCCCATTCCCCCACACCCCCCACACTCCCCCACACCTCCTACACATCTCCTACACTCCCCCACACTCCTCCACACCCCCCC